AGTTTTGCGGTTTATTTTTGATGCATGAGTTAAGCTATAGAGACAGGAAGTGTTTATTATTGAGCTTTCAGGGTGTTTGTGGGCATCATTTTAACTTCAGGAAGAGCCAGGCTAGTTGCTCCACCCTACAACTACATCTGACTCCAAGTATTTGAAGCAAAAAAATGAGACTTCTATACATCCTCTGACATTGCAATCAGAAATAAAATGCACACATTTGCTACAATGTTGGAAGAGACATCGAGTACGCTGTAGCTGATTTGTACTTTTCTTCTCTTTCTCCTAGGTTCACTGCTGATGTCCGCTCCGTCCTCAGTCGAAACCTCCACCAGCACCGGCTCTGGTGATTGGCTGAATTGAGAGGAACGCGGCTTGTTGACCAGCCTTTTCCTCTCTGCCAGCTTCCATCCTGCCCTCCATTCCCACCCAGACGACCCACCAGCCCTCTCTGAGCCTCTCAGACACGTCCTGAGGAGACGAGGGTTGGGGGCGACCGCCTAACACGGGATGAACAGTATGGGATCACCAGAACCCAGAAAGTACTGGGGAGGGAGAGGGAGCCAGCTTGTTTTTTTTTTTTTTTTTTTTTTTTTTTTTTTTTTTCTTTTTTTTTTTTTTCCTTCTTGATTCTTTATTTGTATTTTTTTCGAAAAAGAAAACGGAGCCTCTCTGCCTTATTGCTCCTGATACTGACTGTGTGTGTATGGAGGTGAGCTTGTGTACATGAGTCGGAGTATGCTCGCTGAGTTCATTTGTCCTTTTTAAACTTTTTCCGACGATTGGATTTGGGAGAAAGACGAGGATCAGCAAAGCAACAAAGACAAATTCTACATTATTTCTTCTTCTTCTCCATTGTCACCAGACATTGCACTTCAGCGGACAACTTTAGTAATTTACTGTCTTAACCTCTCGGAGCAACTCAATAGGGGAAACTAGAAAATCGCCCCCTTTTTAGTACAACATCATACCCAAGCGGTGAGTCATTGATTCCCCAGGTATGTTGTCTTTGCCACAGCAAGAATGGATCAATATAAATGATGTAACTGATGGACCTTTGCTTGCAACATACCATCTACAGGCATTTTTCTTGACAGATCTTTTTTTTTTTTTTTTTCCAGCCAGAACCATCACTCTTTCCCAAAAACCCGTCATGGGACTCAGTGATAAAGACTTCAAAGTTTTGAGAAAAAAAAAAAAAGAATGGCTTGTAACGACATGTGGATTGCCGTGCCGCCTTTCTATATCTGATTGTTTCTCTGTTACCATAATATAAGATAATATGACTTCTGCATACCATGGCATTTTGCTTTCCCTTTGCCATTTGATGCCATCCTGATTTCATCTAATAGGAATTGCACTTAATTTCCCCCCTTCCCCCCCCTTCTGTTTTTTTTTTTTTTTGCAGTTGGTTTTGTATTTGATTCAAATTTGCAGCATTGCCCCTTTTTGTTTTGACCCACTCCCCCTTACTGTATGGGTTCAACTATTAGACCCTTCATCTTTAAATGCCTTCTGAACAATGTCAGTCTTGTCAAGGCTCACAGCGGCTTCTTATTGGCTCTGTCTCCAGGTCTGTGTTACTAATAAAACACTCGTCAGTATCGACCAGTTACTATTCAGCTTGTTTTCTTTTAATGCAAATAATTCTTTTTTTTCCCCCTCACGTTTAAACGTTTGCAACTGACTAACCTCAATGGGGCGATGAACTGGAACCTGGGATGCTTTTCTTTTATCTTCAGTAGGTTCTGCAGCTGCTCTCACTAAGTACGTGCTGTTTCATGCAGTATGCAAACAACTGGGACCTGCTACTTCGACATAACATTGCGCCCTGAACCTGGGTAGTCTTTAGCGCAAAATCTGTCTTTGTACTCTTGGCAGCTCAACTTTGTTTATACTCTTAAGAGACACTGTGACTTAACTGCGTAGAGGATTCAGGGTGAAAATAACCAGAAAAACATGCAGAATTGCACACTGCAAAATCCAACCAGACTTAGTCGAGAATTCTGGTAATTTTCGAGTATTACAGCTGACATATGATGCATTGGAACCCACTAAATCTTGCTCACATACGAGATAGTATAGTAGCTTTGATATTGGAACCCACCCCTGTTTTTAGAGTGTGGCACACTTTGACTAATAATCTACTGCCACCTTGTGGGGTAACAGGAACCTGCACTGGTTTTCTTCCTTGGCTGTTGGAAAATCCATTTTGGTGTTAGGGCTTTTCCAAACTAGACACCAAAGCCACAGATGAAAGATGTTCTGAACATCCTCTTTGTTGACATCTTCTAAAGATTCAGATTAAGGCCGAGTAGTTGTCTGATCACTGGAGCTTTCAATATTTGTGCAGATGTTATTTATGTCTTGTTTTATTAAATATGTACAAAAGTGTAATTTTAAGGCAAGCTGTACAAATTTGATAATTCTGTTTTTTTTAATGTTGACAAAACAAAGTCAAGTTCTATTTATTAGAAGAGCTAAAGATTTTAATCATATCACACAATCTTCACCAACAGATGGGTGTTTCCAAGTTGTCAGGGGATCACTGGTTGTTCAGTGTTTTTATTTTTACCATTTTCTTTGCATGTTTGACAGCTAAAATTATTCATTTGCAAAATGTGAATGTTTTTCTCACTGTAAAATTTTGTCAACTTGAAATGTGATGCTCATTACAGGTAAGTTTGTGTTCAGTTATAGTGGCTTCACATCCACTAAGTCACAGCCGTGCATGTGATTTTGTATTGAATCAGTTTTTCAAAAATGTTAGACATTGATCCTGGTTTAATTAGTGCAGGATGAGTCAACTGTGGCAAGTCAGGAGTAAACTGGTATTTGCACATCAGTTTAAAAATGAAAACTAAAAGGCTAAAAAGGTAAATATGCATTTGACATTCTTTAAACTAAACAATTACGCTGCTGTTCCTTCTAGCTACCTTGGTAAATTTCACCTTCTGTATTGTCTTTGCCAATAGTTCCTGAGGAAAAAGGTCTTATAGGGCAAACTACTTCCTTTTTATTCCACTCTCTCTTGTGATACTAATGTGATACTATGAACACCAACTGTAGAGGGAACTTCCACAAATGTGGTTTTAAGTACTGTACCAGTCTGTCTGGATGCATGTGGACAGATTTTGTCAACATGAGCATCACAACAGACCAACATGAACTCCAAAAACTTTACAGATGTGCAGTTAAGATCAAGAAAAAGGCGAGGTTCGAAGATGGGTGTGACCTGAGTGCTACCTGACTACTCATTAGTCACAACCTCGGGATGTTGACAAGCGTTGCGGGTAGTGTCATCCGATCACGAGATGGCCTCGAGGCTTACATAACATCAGTATTTTATGTTAGGTGTTCCATTTAGCTTTGTCACTGATAATGATTTTTTATTTTTTTGCGGAGGAATCATTTTGGAGCGAGGATGAACGACTCAGTGTCATGACTCAGGACATTGTATCAATTTTCAGCTCTTGGTTTTGAGGGCATAACTATGAACAGACAAAAATAGAGGATGGTGCAACGAAAACTGGTGTCTGTCATAATTAAAGGTTACAGTATACTGATATCAACTTGATTTTTCAAAAATTATCAATATCATGTTAATAGTAGACATGATAATGCAAACAATTCAACTCCGGTACCTATGTGGTTGGCAGTCCAGCATGTATAAAGTACAGTTATGGTTACAGACGCTCTTCTTCCCTACACTTGTAGTTTGAGTGTAAATCATTTAAATATCATGATAACACTATCACTATTAATGCTTGCGTATTATGTAGTTAAAACCTGATGTCATGAGACATCAGGTGGGGGAGTCTTGACTTTCTCATCACATTACATCCTGTAGCAAGGCAGTGAAAAGCCAGTACAATCCCTACAAAGTGGCTGATATGAAAGAGACAGGATGATGCTGTATGTAGACGACTATACTATAATCAGAAAGGTACATATTTACCATAATAAGTGAACAAACAATATTACCTAACATGATCAGTTAACATCCAGGTTTAAAGGGAGAGGAAAATGTCTTTCACTCTCAGTAGTGCCTGTGAATTTTGAAGATTCCCATAATCTGTCTCATCACCTTACGTAAAACAAATCATCAGACGACTAAAAAACAGAGATGTCACATGAACAATGCGTCATAGTGCTGTAGGTCAACTTGCGCAATACAAACTTTTACAAGTGTTTCAGGAAATGGACATATGGGTGGCAACCTGGCACTCTAATGAAAATTTATTTTATTTACTTTCACTTTCTTTTTTTCCCCCTAATCTTTGACTAGACAGGTGGTCTAGATTTGAGAAATAAGCAAGTCATTTAAATAACATGTGAAAAAAAAATAATGGGATCCTTTTGTTTAAACAAAATGTTCTTATTGGTGATCTTTGGAGGTTTCCTCGACAACAATAAGCCAGACAACAATAGGCCATCGCCTGCCCGTTTAGATGTCAAGATTACTAGATTTAAGGGAATGATGTGAATGACCAGTTGTTATTTGTCTGATGTTGTGGCAGTTAAAAAGCTTCAAGCCATTATTGTGTTAGGGATAAAGAGTGAATATACAGTAAATCCGGCTACAATATTCTGTTGAGGTCTGCTGAATGATGCTGGCACTTTTAAAAATCAGATCGGTTAAAAAATAAATACCCAAATTACAGCTAAACGTCGCTTGTTTTTGCCTGTCTTCCTTCTGGCCTCGAGCTGCTGGGCCTCGGTCATATGACAAGGACAGATGCCGCCTCACCGCCCTGCCCTGTGTGTCTACGCGCAGCGGTTGATAAAAATAAAATAGTCCGTCTAAAAAAAATTGCATCATACATTTTCAAACCTTTTCAAAAATGATTAATTCCAAAATAAAAATTCTACTCAAACAAACACCGCGTATCACTGTACAATACACATCAATGTGGCCCGAAACAAGGTGAAGTACACCCTACGAAGTGGACTCTCAGCTACGTCATGTTGTTATTGTATCCCTCCGCCGCAGTCGCACTAGGAAAACAGCTGTGTCGAGCTAAAGCTAGTTAGCATCGTTTGTGTTTGGGTGTCAGCGGTTTGAGTCGTTCCTTGAGCAGGCCAACTATTGTACGACCCCGGAGTGACCGACTTGTTGTCTGTCATCTCTTTTAACGATGAAGTTTCAATACAAAGAGGAGCATCCCTTTGAGAAAAGGCGGTCCGAAGGCGAGAAAATAAGGAAGAAGTATCCGGACAGGGTACCAGTAAGTAGCTAACTTTAGCTTGGTACCGCGAGCTATGTTGTTAGCAGTTTGTTTAACGAATCGCTGAGTCTAAGCTCAAGCTATTGTTAGGCTAGTCTTGTTTTTCCTGGTTGTTTGTGACTCCTAATATGCGCGCTTAATGTATACCCATAATTAGGTGGTTAATATGTAGCTAGTTAATGTCCTTACTTGTCTCCATAGTTAATTGCCACGTTAGTAAACAGCACACAATGTAGCTGACAGCGCTAGAGGTTAACCACTATGAATCTCGGCCTCAGCGAACAGGCCAGCTAGCGTTAGCTTCCTTTAATTTTCCGTGTGTGTCTTTATTTTAATATAATAAAACTCGATCACAGCAATGATGGTGGTGAAGTAACACAGTGCCTCAGTGTTTAATTAGTGGGATTACCATTAGAGTAAAATATATAAAGGCCTGAGTGTATACAATCTGGGTATGGGTTGGGTGTAGTTTTCGGCTGTATGTTGAAACGCTAACAGTAGCACCTTAAAATAGTTGATGTCAACAAATAGGGCACTTGTTTACGTCGCTCTGGCTCTCGGAGATAGATTGTACAGTCCTTTGGCTCCTTGACACTCGACCTGACCTGACTTGTTTGTCTGGGTCAAAAAAAACACCGACGAGCTTCTCTTATTTTCTCAGTAACAAATAGTTTAAGTGTCTTTCATTTTACTGCGGTTATCAGTCGGAGCACATTGCGCACTTGCTATGTGGCTGCTACAAACGATCACCCGTCATTCTCAACTAATTGACGAATTATTTCCCAGCTAATAAAACACACTTTTGCTTTCTGTTGTGTTAGGAAATAGTGAAAACTGTCGCAATTTCCCAGAGGCTGAGGTGACATTCTGAAATGTTTTCTTATGTCAGATTCCAATCGCATGGAGAAGATGAAACAATTAATAAAAATCAAAATTTGATTAATTTTCCACCTACTGACACTGAGCTCTCAAAAGGGTATTACTGTTGTGGGCATTTTACAAGCCTTATCTTTAGGAGAAGAAAGAAGAAATAGTTTAGTTTTGTGCTCCCTCCACTCCCCTGTTAAACCCCAAGTCTGAATCATTAACATGAAATTATACCGGTTTCATTCTGACTAAACTGTCTTAATATTCTTAATATTCTGTTTGATCTAGCTGAAATATATGTCAGATCTCGCTTGACTGATAGTTCGGTACTTTCTCAGATCCTTTTTTCTAAAAAAGGTGAAACACACAATCAAGTACTTCTCGTTTAGTTGGCACGCATTGCTCCAGTGATTTTTTTTTTCTACTTCTTTTTTCAGGTAATTGTGGAGAAAGCCCCCAAAGCCAGAATAGGAGATCTGGACAAGAAGAAATACCTTGTCCCCTCCGACCTGACAGGTCAATATTGCATTATGTGGAAGTCGCTAATATTTGTATGTAACACCTACGTGTTTTTTTTTACAATCATGTGTACTCTCGTTTAACAGTGGGCCAGTTTTACTTCCTCATCCGGAAAAGAATCCACTTGCGAGCTGAAGACGCTCTCTTCTTCTTTGTAAACAACGTCATTCCACCCACCTCAGCTACCATGGGACTGTTGTACCAGGCAAGAGGCTTACTCAGTTACCACGTCACTGACCTGCCCTCACATTATGTCTTAACAAATGTGTTCGTTTGTGCTACCTTTCATATCTTTTTTTGTTCTTACTGTGTTTCTCAGGAGCATCATGAAGAGGACTTTTTCCTCTACATTGCCTACAGTGATGAGAGTGTGTATGGGAACAGCCAAAGGGAAATCTGATCCCACTACCATCCCCCTTCAACCACTACCCACCTTTATGAGACCTCCACCATTCATTCATTTAAATATTAAATCCAGCTCAGCAGCCTAGAGTTCCCAGAGTAAATACGTCAAATGCACTTTCACAACCCATACATTACTCTTCTACCATCCATTTATGTCTTTATTATTCTGCAGTCTGAATTGTATTTGCCTCCATTTTTCTCTTCAATAGCAACTTTGCTAAGTGGTCTCATGGCCAGTTCTTTTTCTAGCGTCATAATTGATCATGTTTTACAAAAAGAAAAAGGCTGAGGAATTATATTAGAACTACTCCATAGTCATAGTTTCTCCTAGGTTGAGGGAAAAAAAAGGAATAATATGTGAGTTCAAATCAGCTCTTATTGACAATGAACATAATTATTGGTTGTGTAGTTTTGTTAACTTGTGAGAGAAGTAAATATGTTTTCAGTTTAGATTAGGAATTCGATAGCTTCCACCCAGTAAAGCAGGTGATTTTGTCTCCATCGGATTAAAGGATAACTGTTTTGAAGCAGTTCTTTTCCTAGAAAATAAATCTAAAGTGGCTAGGTTACTTTTTTTTTAAAAAATCCCTAGCCATTTAACAATCTGTGAAGGAGAATTTAGTGTGCTGCCCTACATCTGTCATTAGCATGGAGTATAATAGAATTCAGACTAAACATCCTCTGCTTTCAGTGGTAAGACTATTATGTTGACTGCTACTATGATTATTGTTGTTATTATTGTTAATTTTAGATGGCTTACTTTCTAAAGGTATTGTAAAGCTGAGTGCGATTTTCTTTTTTTTTTTTTTCTAAGTTTGTCTCCTTTTTTTAAAGAAAAAAAAAAAACAACGATTTGAACTCTGTATACAGCTGCATTACTGGCTCCTTCTCTCCACTCATGACCATACATGATAAAATGTGATGAAAAGCTATCTGTGTTTGCTGTCGTTATTGAATATCTTAGGTTGCTTTGTCACAGAATTGTGAATAAACAAATACTGTGTCATCTTTGTTTTATCAGTTTTCATTGAGAGAGGTTTACCACTAATTTAACGCGCAGACTGACGACTGACCATCATTTGATCTAGTGATTTAGCTCAGCCTCCTTCGCTGTCCTTCCTCTGTATGCAAAGTTTAGCTTATCAGCTACTGTGGCTGCTCAGATAACGTGTACCACATAAAAGAGGGCTGCTTGTGTTTTTTACATTTCTCGAAACTTATGTGACTGAAACTTACCCTTTTCACCCCGTCAACCTATCATTACAAAGTCAACCTACAGAATGGAAAAGAAAAGGGACAATAACAAAAAAATTTGGCACAATGAAGGATCAACTGAAGGAGAAAAAATGAAGTAAAATGGTATTTAACATGAGCAAAGTAATACTACTGACTAGAAATGGTAAAATATTTTGTGTAGATTATCAGTACAAACGTCCATAAATTAACATTTCACAACATTTTTTGAGTTAAAAATAAAAGTGGTAGGTCTTATTGAATGTAATATCGATCCTGTAAACTAATCAAATTATTAAGATCCAGCCAAGCAGAATTAAGAATTAAGAGTAGCCATGATATGTGCATATCTTCATCTGACAGCATGTGCAAACATATCGCCACTGGATGAACAAAACGAGGGATTTGGAAGCTTGTGTTTGCTTAATTGAAAAGAAGAATGTGGGCGCTTCCGCGAAATGACGAGAAACTACAATTCCAAAAATGCACTTCCGAGGAAACGTCGGAAGTCGTCATACTTGGTACCGGATGAGCAACATTTTCACCCGGGCTGAAAGTCTCTGTTTATATTTTGGGGACAAGTTTTGGTTTTTAGCCCGTTACTGCTCCAGACACAGCCGTATCGCATCAAATTAAATACCGCAAGACGGTCTGGTTCTTATTAAACGATTCACAAAGAAACAAAAGTAAGCTTTTTTCAATTGTATCACTCTGCAACACTATAATAGCGTTAGAACAGATACCGTAAAATGTGTTGTAGTTGTTGAGCAGCTAGCTTGTCTAGCTAACGTTGGCTCTCGAGTATGGTTAAAATATTTTTTTGCTACTGGTTTACACATTTAAGCTTCATAAGTCTTTATCTTAATTATTACGGTGTACTTTAATGCATTACACTGAGCAATTGTCTGGCATGTATCAGAAGCTACAGCTTATCATGCTAACTTAGCAGTTAGCAGCTAACTCACTAGGCCTTTGACCATTACCGCTATGGTATGTTTAATAGACTAATAGCGAGCGTGGATAATGCAACATTTGATGGCGTTAAATGCACTTCAGATATTCTTTTTTAACCTTGTTGCCTTTCTCAACTGATATTTCGACCCACACCAGCTGGCCCCTCCACTGCCCGTCACCATGCCCGCCCTGTTGGAGAGACCCAAGCTGTCCAACGCGATGGCCAGAGCCCTCCACAAACACATAATGAGGGAGAGAGAGCGGAAGAGACAAGGTGATGCTCGGCTAAGTGTGCACTGTCTGTCATAACATAAGATCTACAAGTAAACAAGAAGTGTCCACATATTAGGCTGTACGTGGGATTGCAGTTGATACAATTCACCAGTAAGTGTTGAGGTGCGATGTGTAGATTCCCAGTCATCCAGGTCATGGTAATCTAGAAGCTTCAGAAGATGACAGGTGAAACATTTTCAAGAACCTTATAGGGAAGTCAAGTTGCTGTTTACGTAAACTCAGTTTAAAAAATTTTATTCCTTTTGTTTTCACTAAATTCTGCCGCTCAAACCTACAATATGTTTCTGTGTTGGGCAGAACGAGTAATCAATTTTGTTCCAGTTTGAAATACTGTAGTTAGAAAATCATAAATGCTACAGTTTAAGACATGTGTTAGGAATGTGTCTGATCCAGGGTTTAAACTGTCATGTCACTGTTTCTTTAAATTCATACTGTCCCCCTTGTGTGACAATCACACTTTATTTCATATGATAATACTCCACCACATGTTTTTAAATCTATTGTACAGTGAATATTGAACTGAAGCTTCAGTTTAAAAATGTATTGCAAATCAAATCACAATGTCTTTCAGAAACATTGCAATTAATTACTTCCCAGAATTGTTCAATCATACTTCAACCTATGCTTTGTTGTCCCAAATAGTATGATTACTAATTATAATGTTAAATTATATTGACAGCTGACTGTATGCAATGTCCATGATGATTTTGGCAATTATAAACCAAAAGCAAAGTAGCAGGAAACACCTCATTTTTTTAAAGTTTTTTTTTTACAAATCTTACAAGACACTTGTCAAAGTCTTAATTGGTGAAAAAAAACATTAGAAGTGTAGTGTAATTTAGTATTTACATTAGTTTTAACAATGATTCCACATGTACACATCTTACAAAAAAAATTACACAAAAACTACACTTGTGTTGTATTTTTGTATTAAAATATGTTATACCTAAAATGTTATGAGTATCCTATGTACTATACTCTGCTCGCACATTTATTTTTTTTTTTTAACTTAAAAGTTTATGTAGTATTTCTACATTCAAATATTGCTTATTTTTATTCAAAGTGTAATATGTATATTTTTCCCCTTGCTGAATGCCTTGTGCTCTATTTTCAGAGGAAGAGGAGGTGGATAAAATGATGGAGCAGAAGATGAAGGAGGAGGAAGAGAGAAAGAGGACAAAAGAAATCGAGGAGAGGATGTCCTTGGAGGAAACCAAAGAACAGGTTGGAAAGAGCTGGAAATGCTTCGTGTGATGTTTCCAATGCAGTCTGTGCTTCCAACTCCGTATAGCTTTCTCATTCCACCTTGAGTTGGGACAGATAATACAATAATAATAGCTTGTTTTCTTATTATGATTCTCTACCCTCATGTCAACATCAGGTAATGAAGATGGGCGAAAAACTTCAGGGACTCCAAGAAGAGAAACATCAGCTCTTTTTACAGCTCAAGAAAGTTCTCCACGAGGAGGAGAAGAGACGCAGAAAGGAGCAGAGGTAGTTTTTTATAGTTTTTATTGTTTTTTTATGAATTCACTTAACAAACCGATTATTTTACAGAACTAATCTTAGTAGTCTGTTGCATTTCTGCGCCCCCGGTGTCCTTTTCAGTGATATCACAACATTGACATCAGCCAGCTACCAGCCCAGTCTGCCAATGCATTCAGGACAGCACCTCCTAAGTATTCAAGGTGAGACACATTTCAGGTCGTATGTATTGCCAAATCAGAGCTAGATGGGAAATTATCCTTAACATTAGTAGTATTGGTCAACTCATTTTCCTGCCTTTCTTTTCTCAGGCAGCCCAGTCAGCCACAGTCGACCTGGCGCACTGCTTGGAGAACGGAGCAAACAGCTGTTCCCAGCTGCTGTGATCCCCGTAAGTAAAGGGCTGTTCACTCAAAGAATGAGTGTGTGTCCATCTTTCCTCTGATACTGCTCTGTAGGTCATATGTTTGAGGACGCATTCATGGTTATATGTGATTTATTTATAGCAACCTGTGTCTAAATAAACAAGTTTTTTAATTCAAATGTTTTTCTGACAGTTCTAATCTTACACATTTAAAGCCCAGTTCATTAGGAGAAGCTAATTTAGATCTCATGTTTACATCCCTATCTCCTCTACTTTTAGGCACGTCATTATCAGACACCTGGGTTCAGCTCAGGCTCAGCAGAGCACGGGCAGTTCAGCGGAGGCCAGGGGGTCCATGAGCCCTACGGGGTGGCTCAGCCCCAACACCCCTCCACCTACGCCCCTGGACCTTCAGTACCAGTCAGCTTTGCAAGCAGCTCTCAGATCAGAGGTAAAGGATGCATGTGTGCTACAGGTGTGGGGGTGCGTACTTATGTGCAAGGATGTCAATATTCAGATTATGGGGGGCAAAAATTCTTTAATAGTGGGCTGTAGTTCTCACTCTATAATCATGGCTGTGTGTGCATTTCATCTCATAAGAGGAAAGGGGTTTGCAGCTTATACACCTGGAGTTCATTTATTTGTTCTACATCAGGGTTATGGTCAGAATTAGATACATTGTTGTGTTTTTAGTTCTGGTCCAGGATATGTTCCCCTTTGTCTGCCTCACTGGATATAGGCTGCGGGGAAAGGC